CAGCCCGATGCACGCTTATTCGCGGATCTTTGTTAATTAAAATCTCGGTAACTATTGCGAATCTAGCAAAATGGTATAGGACTTTTCACCTTAGTTTTATTTCTTCTACCTGTCTACGAGAGATGTTAAACCAATTCTGGGACACCCTGTATATACGTCTATATATATATATATATATTATACGTCTATGGCATGTACACAACTAACACATGTACACGTTTAGTATATGTAACAAGATAGATTACATACACTAAACGTGTACATGTGTTAGTTGTGTACATGCACTTGTTTTGCAAATGGCGTCCAACTGAAAACTTATTCCCTTGAGCGGATTTTTTCCCAATGAACCGTAAAAATCGGGATTACTTTTGTATCACGGAGTTTGATCTCCTTACTCTTACTTCGTGGGCGCTTGTTGGCGAACAACATAGACTTATATAATAGACGGAACAATTATGTAAGAGGAGCTGAAGCTTCGTTAAAAGAGACAGAAATAGTCGTAGAGTAGTTCTCTTCTTTTCTAGAAGTGAGTTGATTGGTGGCCGCGGCAGGCCGAGGCAGTGGCCGAGAGCAACGAAGATAAAGTTCGAGAGTCAGTTGAGAGAGTGATAGAAAAAGGTGATAGCATAGACTTGTGAGATGATTGGTCCCTCACCGCTCTTATTGTAAGAGAGAGAAACAACTACTCCAACACTATTTCTTTTGTCCTTTAATGTTGTCTTCAACTTCGTTATATAAATGTTCCGTCTATTATATACGTCTATGCAATCAACTCACTGCTAGAAAAGAAGAGAACTACTCCACGACTATTTCTGTCACTTTTAACAAAGCTTCGGCTCCTCTTACACGAATATTCCGTATATTATATAAGTCTATGGTAAATATAAACAGACATAACCTGAAAAGAATATAATCCGAGAAACTTCTAATTGACTCCGCGGAAATGATTCACTTATATATTTTATCTTTTTATTTTCAACTTGCATATACTTCTTAACAAGACTCGACATAATGCAGACATAATGAAAAATAGAGGTTGGCATTATTTAGTTTCAAACGTTTCTACCGATTAAAATTGTATATCAATTCGCTGCTACTCCGATAAAACTTACAGACTACGTTTACACGCACTGGTAAAAACGTTTTAGCAAAAACCGGTTTAGTAAATCCTGTTCTATGGTGCCTGTTTACACGATCAGGCGTATTTTACCTCTACCAAGAACAAAGTAGCTTTATTAAATCCGAACAAAATCTATTGCCAACATAAAAGATTTAGCGCCTGAAACTATTTGTTGTAGAACATTCCGTAACTGGTAACAGATAGAAGAAGTTACGTTTTGCGATTGTGAAATTTACAAAAATGGAAAAATTATTAACAACTTGTTTGAAATATATTTTGTTTGCATCTGTTTGTGGATTTTTATATATCCTTTTTTGTGCATGGGCTTTTCCAGCAATTTGAATATTTCGGTCCTTCGAAATTTTTTTTCATTCAAACATCATTTTTCGCTCTCTTATTAAATTTAGGAAAAATTGTGTTTCTTTATTTTCCTATTAATCTCGTTTTTTACAGAATAATCCATTTTGAAGCGATGCTGTATGAGATCAATATTTTGTCAGATTTCGTATTCTTTGTACTTTTTTACAAATGTCTAAAGTTGGTAATATCGCATTTTGATACGTTAAAACCATTGAAGACCGTTTACACGTCTTTCTTAAAACGGTTTAATAACGCCAAACCTCTTTCAGAAGAGGTTTGACTTTACTTAAACAGTTTTTCTAACATCAGTATTAAGGGACGTTTAGAGGACATCTAAGTCCGGTTTTTACTAAAATGGTTTTTATTAAAACGGTTTTATCAGTACGTGTAAACGTAGTCCTAGTTATTCCGCAAACTCCGTTCTGTAAAACTGTGTTTCCTTACGTCTCATTGAACGGAATTGGTTATTGCGCAATAGGACGCAGACCACTTGTAAGAGCCTTTTCATAGATTACTTTCAATGGATCTATCGGAATAGTGATTGCTAGTGGCTAGCGCTGATTACGTATAAAATATAATTTTGAATCATAAAAAGAAAGTAAGACTCAAAATTATTATGTTTGAATATATGTATAATCTATATTTCTTTATTTAATTATGAATAGCTTATTGTGACATGAGAAACTTTTGTTTACGCAATAAATGCAAAAAATAAAACATTTAATTATGTACACAGCTGTAAAAAAAGACAAAATTTATATTAAACCTTTATTATAAAATATTAAGAATAAAAAATAAAAGATATCAAGACAGTATTACAATATTTATGTAATTAGCGTTAAAATTTCTCAACTAAAATAAAGTATAAATATAACTTTTGTCTTTTTTTACAGCTGTGTACATAATTAAATATTTTATTTTTAGACATTTGTAAAAAAGTACAAAGAATACGGAATCTGACAAAATATCGATCTCATACAGCGTCGATTCAAAATGGATTATTCAGTAAAAAACGAGATTAATAGGAAAATAAAGAAACATAATTTTTCCTAAATTTAATAAGAGAGCGAAAAATGATGTTTGAATGAAAAAAATTTCGAAGGACCGAAATATTCAAATTGCTGGAAAAGCCCATGCACAAAAAAGGATATATAAAAATCCACAAACAGATGCAAACAAAATATATTTCAAACAAGTTGTTAATAATTTTTCCATTTTTGTAAATTTCACAATCGCAAAACGTAACTTCTTCTATCTGTTACCAGTTACGGAATGTTCTACAACAAATAGTTTCAGGCGCTAAATCTTTTATGTTGGCAATAGATTTTGTTCGGATTTAATAAACCCAGACGGCACATGATATCATTTGATTGTAGAATGATATCGTTTCTACGTCATTTTCGTGATATCATGTGATATCACATCCCTGAAATATCACACAGATGTTCTTCTAAGAATATTAGTACTGTTTTCTTTCAAGTATATCTCAAAGACATCGCTTAATGTATAGGAAATTTGAATGCAGTGTATTACACTCCCGTGATATTCTTATGATATTTGAAATATTTATTGATGATATCACAAATCTTCGCACAATATATTTTGCGCGAGATATGAANATCAATTCTCAAGTTGCAATTTATACAGTGCACTGCAATATTTTTATTAAATAATAATTAAAATAAATAATAAACAAAATGTGTACAATAGCTCAACAATAAGTAGATAAAAACAATTATAATTTAGTAAGAAGTAAGTGGTCTCGCGGACTGAGTGCAGGTGCTGCGGATATGGGCTTGCGGAGGTCTCGAGTTCAAATCTTACTAATCACCTTAGGATTTTTCAGGTGCGGTCCCTTTCAATGGAGTTCATCGGTTGATCGGCGAGTTGTATCAGGCCTTCAAAAACTAATTCGAGTGAAATCTCGAAATTCCCCTCATTTTTAAAACTTTTGCAAGAGATATCATTTGCATGTTTTTGATGTGGACATTAGCAGTCTCAGGCATATCCCTGAGATATTATTTGAACATCATTACTCGTTCGAAAATGTCTCAACGAGATATCTTTTGCACATTCAAAGTCTCTGTGAGATATCTTCAAGACATCTTAAATACATCATTGTGCCGTCTGGGAAGCTACTTTGTTCTTGGTAGAGGTAAAATACGCCTGATCGTGTAAACAGGCACCATAGAACAGGATTTACTAAACCGGTTTTTGCTAAAATGTTTTTACCAGTGCGTGTAAACGTAGTCATACTTTTTACGACGGTTTCAGCATAGACTTATATAATAGTCGAAACATTTATATGACGAAGTTGAAGACAATATTAAAGGACAGAAATAGTGCTGGAGTAGTTGTCTCTCTCTCTTACATCAAGAGCGATGGGGGACCAATTACCATAAGCGTATAGATATATAAGTCTATGCCACGGAGATAAAGGAGGGAGCATTAACGGATAGTATAAGCGCGGGGAGTGAAGCCATGGTGCGGGGGGGATTTGACTTCTAAACAACCTTCAGCTATATTTTTTTTTTTTTTTTTTATTGAGTAAAAGGAAGATGGCCTTTAAGAGCAGGCTTAAATGGCTCTAATACAGCTGCGTTAGACTAAAGGCAATTACAACGTCGAGACTTAAGCTATTATCACAGGAGAAAGTATGTAAAAGTACCTCTCTCGGATTGGTCGGAGCTTACTATACTAAGGCTTAAGCTAATTTGTACTGTGACGAACGCAAAAAGATCCGGGAGTACCGGAGGAATATAAGATTACAAAAATGTGCAAGGCAGTGTTCATTTGAACACATGCCCGCATTGCTTAAAAAAAACCAAAACAAAAAAAAATTATATAGAGATTAAATAAATTTGGGAATGGAAGTAATAAATTCTTCCACCGGAGGAAGAATGTCTTTACGCAGCGTGGCCATAAGGTATTCCACAGGGTGAGGAAGGAAGCCACGAGCCTTAACCAAGCCCCTCACCAGTAGTTGGTGTTCCTTGTCAAACTCAGGGCAGACCCAAAACATGTGATTCGGGGACTCCTCCACTCCACAGGCAGGGCAGAGAGGGGAGTCCACAATCCGGAAGCGGAAAAGATGCGCCCGCAGGGAAGAGTGCCCGCTGCAAAGCCTGTTGAACGTAGTAACCGTCCTTCTCCTAATGTTAAAGAAGGCAAACCATGGATGGCAAAATCGCGTCAGATACTTGTGACAGTAAAAGAAACCGCGCACCGCCGCCTCACGCGAGCACCAGTCGAAAAGCTCAGTGAACATATCCTTTTTCCAATAATTTTTAATCTCCCTTAGCGGTACTCCCAATTGTGAGTCCACGCCATGTGGAATGGCATCCTTAGCGAGTGCGTCAGCCCTCTCATTACCCCGAATTCCGACATGACTAGGTATCCAGACCAGCCGGGTAAGCGTACCCGCCCGTTCCATGTCCAGCAAGACCGACTTTACACGTAGCACCAAGTAAGAGCTGGAGCGAGGATTAAAGCGAGATCTCACCGCGGATAGGGCCGACCTGGAGTCTGAGAAAATAGTCACACTTACCCAGCCTTCTGCCCGAGCGAGCAGGAGGGCCTTCAAAATCGCCATGACCTCGACGCAAAAGGAAGAGAGAAAGCTCGCGGACCGGTACTGTCGCGACACAGACCCATCAAGGGAAGTCAACGCGAACCCAGAAAACGGAGCGCCCTGTTTAACAGATCCGTCCGTAAAAATGCAAACCGCAGAAGACAAGCCAGAGGCGGAGAGTTTCTCAAAAGAATCCTGAGGGTCTGAGGAGCCCGCAAGCCCCGAGCTCGATTCCAGGTCCACTGTAGGGCAGTACATAAGCGCCTCAAATCAGAACGAGTAACATAGGGGGGCTTTTTCCTCAGGAAGAATCCGAGATAACCTTTCCACACGGCGATAAGCCTCTATCAGCGGGAACGAATCTACGCGGTTAATCCGGGTAGACGTTTGAACACTTCTTTCCACTCTTTCGAGCAACTTACGACCCGGATGCCCAGAATACATAAACATGCGCGACAAAAAGCTACAGCACAAAAAAGTGTTGCGGACACATATAGGAGGCTCCCGGGCTTCAGCCAAGACTACGTTACACGGTGTGGATGTCATATACCATCGCGATACGCAGGGCCCGCAGCTGGATCTTATCTAGCCGAGAAGAGAGGTACGTAGACATGTTGTGCATCAAGAAGCCGCCATACTTTAAGCGAGAGCGAACCAGAGCCCGATACAGAGTTAGCAACAGGTGAGGATCCGACCCCCACCAGGTCCGACTAAGACAATGGAGAGTTCTCAACGAGTTAGCGCAGCGGTTCTCAACGTGCTGAACGTGGGCCTTCCACCTCACGTCAGATTGAAGCACAAGACCCAAGAACTTGACCTCTGAAGAGGTAGGGATCTGAACCCTAGAGACGGATATCGACCACGTCCGACGACTGTACGAGACGCGACCCCCAACCCGAACCGGAGTCTTCAGCTCCGTATCACCCGGATTAAAAACACACAGCTGGTTCTTAGGGTCCGAGAGAGTCAGCCCCAGCGACCCGAGGGTCGATTCCACTCTCTCCACCGACTCTTCCACACTTCTCAGAGCTCACTCCACCGGAGAGTTCGAAGAATAGGCAAATATCGTCCGCGTACTGTACAATTTTACAACCAGTGTTGCACATGAGATCCAGCTTTGATACGTAGACCGTATACAAAAGGGGACTGAGAACGCTTCCCTGGGGAAGTCCCCGAAACACCCACCGCACCGACTCCATTTCTCCGAATCTGAAGAAAAGTTGACGTGACAAAGTTAGATGCCAAATAAATTTCAGAGTGCAATGCGGGACTCCCAATAAACGCAAATTATCCACTAAGATATCGCTCAGAACATTATTGTATGCTCCCTGGATGTCCAAAAAGGCAGCCGCCACGGCTGAGTTCACCTGAAAGGCCCCCAGGATCTCACCATAAAGAAGAGACAAGTTATCAATACATGACTTCTGCCTACGAAATCCGAATTGTGTGCACGGAAGAAGACCGTGCCATTCGAGCCACCAGCTAAGGCGACGATATCATCCGTTTCATGGTCTTGCATAGACACGAGGAGAGAGAGATAAGTCTGAACTTGCGGCCATCTGTTTTGGGGATGAAGAATATCAAATATCTACTCCACTCGGCCGGGAACCAGCCCTCCGTCAAAATAAAATTAAAAATAGTAAGTAGGACATTTTTACCTAGTGCGGAGAACCGCTTAACACCCTGGTATAACAATCTATAGAGTCCAACCCGGGATTAGACCCGCTATTAACGTAGGCCAGAGCCAAATCTAGCTCCGGTTCCGTGAAGGATAGATCCAGAAAAGGATCTTGGGAGTTCTCCACAAACGCCGGAGAAGACACAGGGACCCAAGGGGGGCACAGATCGTCTACCTAATTCCGGGTCACCTGAGTCTTGGTATCACTATATTCCCTGCCCGTGTCAGTCTTATTTCACCTGTAGTCAAAGCGTTTGATGACGTTCCATACGTACCCGAGCTTGGTGTCCTTACGCAACCTGGAGCAGAAAGTATGAAAGCTTTCTCGTTTAACGCGCGCTAAATCCCTACGAGTAGCGTCGATAACCAGTTTATAGGCGACAAAGTCTTCCCGGAGCCCGGTAGCGCGGAACCGCTTCCAAGCCGCCTTCTGCACGAACAAGTCTATCACACTCGGCATCCCACCACGGGCAGGAAGGGTGACTGGCCCCCGGGGAAGGGAAACGTCTCTCCGGGATGGCAGCCCCCACCGCACCCTCCACCAACGCAACAAAGGAAGAGTAAAGAACCTGAGGTTCGGCGGACAGATCTAACTGTCTAATCTCATAGTCCATCACATCTTGAAAAACAGACCAATCAGTTCCCGTCGAATGGAGACGGGGCGATCGCCGGGGCGTCGGCGGGGTGTCCAGGCGCAGTCTCGATCGCACAAAGATCGGAAGATGGTAGCTACCCTAAGGATCATGTCCGACTTGCCAGTTCAAACGAAGAGTCAATGCACTATGGGCGATGGATAAGTCCAATGCAGAGCCAGATCGGAAGGAATCTCCACTGTAAGTCATCGATCCATCGTTTAGAACAACACAGTCCAAATCTATCAGAGCTTCACTCAAATTAGAACCTGTCAGACACAAAGGATTAGAGCCCCACTGAGGACTATGAACGTTAAAGTCGCCACCCACAAAAAACTTCGAACCTCCAAACTGAGAAAAGAACAGAGACCATTCTCTTACCGAAATTAGCGGGCCCTGAGAAGGACGGTAACATGAAACAAGAACAACAGGGTCGCCTCGGAGAGAAACATCCACGGCGCACGCCTCCAGCTTACCTGCGCAGTCATAGAGAGTAGGAATCTGTTTATATTTTAAGGAGTTGTTTACTAGAATAGCGACTCCGCCGCCACAACGACCTTGGCGATTCTTTCTCACCGTGTCGAATCCCCGGAAAAATGCAGCTATTGTGAGCCTGTAGCCACGTTTCTGAAATCAGAAGAAAATTGTAAGACTCACAGTGTTTAGCAAGTTCGGTAAGATGAGGCAATAAAGATCTAGCATTCCATTGAACGAGACCAAAAGGATCAGTTAACTTTTTCCTCGCGCGAAAGTGAGACATTATTTGGCTAAGTTATTTTTTTTAGTGTTATGTAAATCTATTATCCCGTATTACAATTACGAGAGATCAGTTTATCGCAGTTCTCAGCCGCTAGAATGCGGTTAACGATTTCCGAGATCGGTGTTCTGGAGGCGGATGAGAGCTTCTCCCCTGTCCAAGGAACAGTCGTGGTGGAGATGACCGGCCCGTGAGGTGCGCCCGAGCGACGACCGCTCCATGCAGGCGCCTGGGATCCAGGAAGGGCCGGGAAGTTCTGGAGAGTCTTTTCAGGTACCATCGGGCCACAGGTAGAGACGCCTTCCGCAGTCTTTTTAGCTTCGAGGAATGGGAGATTGTCGTATGCCATAATGCGCATGATTTCAGCTTTCAGCTTGTAGGATGGACAATCTCTGCTGAGAGTGCTATGGGCCCCTTCACAGTTCACACATTTTTTAGCGTTGGTGCACGGAGAATCCCGGGTGCAATAGTGGTCACTGGCACAGGTTAAGCAGCGTTCCTGTCTCTCGCATGTTCTACTGAAATGGCCAAACCGGCCGCATTTAAAGCAGATGCGAACCGATTGCACATATGGTTTAGTACGGATAGCTGCCTTAAACAGCAAAACTTCCTCTGGTATATCTTCGCCGTGAATTTCGAAGCAAACAGTCTCCGACTCGACCAACTGCTGAGAGACACGGTCTCTCCGCTTTAAACAAAACAGTTTTACTATCAGCAAGCGTGGGTTCTCATTTTCGAGATCGCGTTTCAAGTCCTTCAGCTCATAATCCAGGGGAATGTCCCGAATAACAAAGCGGCGGGATAGCTTAAAACCCGGGATAAATAATACAAAGTTCATATCGCTCAACACCTTATTTGATAGCACGTTGTTAGCTGCTGACTTGGAGGACAGATAGACTCGCCATGTATTGCGGGAGTAATTAACCACACACGAGTACTTAACATTAGCTGCTGATAACTTACGTACAAACTGTACCAACGGCAAGCGATTGCTAGAACCCTTAGGAGTCGGTGCACAAACGTGGACAAAGAACGGCGCCCTGGAAAACGCATCGTATTTCTGTAGGCGATATTCCGACGGGGCGCCCGCAACCACTGGTCGCGTGGAAAGACCCGGTGAGACCGCGCGCGACGAGCAATCAGCGGAAGAGTCCGATGGCAAGGCCGTCGACAAAGCACTCGACGGAACAATTGACTGTCGAGCCTCCTCCGTAAGTGGGGTTGAAGCACGTTCTTTATTCATGACCTCGACTGACACTTGTCGCAGCAAAACTCTCTTTTTATTCCCTTGCTTCGATTCTGTACTGGTTATCCCGTATGAATTCTTTGCATTCTTTGCCCTTTCCGATATGTGGTCACCGTCGTCGTCCATTGACTGATGTGGTCTTTTCAGGTTATGCGCATCGGGGTCGATCTCCATCCTGCTCTCTTCGTAATGATTACGCGGAGAAGCCGGCATTGAGCTTGAGGGTTGAGACAAGAACAACCGGAAGTCGTCTTGAATGCACTCGTACGCCGGGGAAGGCGAAGGCTCGCAGTCCGGCGACGACGCGCGAGACAGGTTATGCCGTGCAGACACGCTGTTGCCTTATAAGCAGAGCGGAGGAGATGTAGAAAAAGAAACCACTCCCGGGTAGGCAATTAAGCAAAATGAGCCGGAACCGACGCAAATATTACCGCACACCGCAAGAAACACAGATTACTAGGGAAGGAAAGCACAAAAAAGCGGGAGAGACGTAAAAAAGACGTCTTCCCGCCAAAACGGCTAGTCCGGAAGTCCAAACTTCAGCCATATTTATATGGACCACTAGTGCTGCTATCTATCTGATAAGAGCGATATTATTTGACACATTGACGTTGACGTACTAATCTGTAGTGGACAGGAAGAAATTGTGAAAGTTTTTAGTAAAGAGAAAATTAAGAGAAGAAAGAGAGATAAGTAAGACAATTAAAT